AAATTTTTTTCAATGGCCCTCCCCCACCCCAAAAAATTTTTCGATGGCCCTCCCCCCACCTCAAAAAATTTTTCGATGGCCCTCCCCCCATTTTTCGATGTCTCTTTATCCCTCCATAAATTCCCAAATTAAGTACGCATCCCGATTAAAGTACGCGCCCCCGATTTGGGGTTGATGGGAAACAAATATTCCCGTCTGAAATGGAAAAACTCGAATAAAGTACGCACCCCTTCTACGCACAGCCGGTACCTCTGGTCTTAAGGACAGCTCATCGTTCCAAACAAATTTAAAATTGCAGCTTCAAAATTGTGAAAAACTAGATTTATGCCATATACTACGTGATTGTATGGTAACGTTGCGGGAAACGTTCCACGTTCGGGCTTGTTTTCACCTCTGGCCGCAGCCGACTTGCAAGACGTCACCACCGCATCGAAAGGTAAGGCAAGTGCGGCAAAACGTACAGCTTTGGATCCCGGACAGTGTTGGTGATCAAACAAGCAATGGTCAATAAAGATTCGTGAAAAAAGACTGTATTTCAATATTTACTTCATCGGTACCGGGGGGTAGTTGAATGTTGATACACAAGTACGTAGCTTTGTTGTTTTCTTTTTTACTATACGAAATGCACTTAAAATAGCGCCCGCCCGATCGCCACATGGGGAGCAATTAATTAACGATCATCGAGGCGGAGAACTGGGCGGAGTATTCATGCTACTGTAGAGGTGCTGCCGAATTTAAAATTTGCCACCCGTTACACTTCTAAGGAGTAAACACATGTGTTAATTTGTACTCCGTAAAACTTATAAGTACATGTACATTCTGTTCAGAGGAAAGAAAGACCTTCCCGGGGCCCAGGTCCTGGAAAGCTGTCCTCAGCGCTGCCACGGCCCTCTTTGTTCTTCAGCTGTAGGTGTACTTTGCCTGTCGGCGCGCCCAACACCCCACCCACCCGCCTTTCATCAAAGACTACATTTTAAGTTAACTCCGCCCATATCATTGTAGCTTGCCGAACAGTCGGGTGGGAGAGTACATCTAGCTGGCATTTTCACGTCGTACTGCACTGGCTGGTATAGCCCGCTACAAAGTAATTTCCCATGGCGTTTATCAGGATTTAAAAAGATTTGTGATACGAAATGAAACGTTAACATGGATAACAATTTCTGTCTTCTACCTTTGAAACGGCATGGGGTAAAATCTTTGTCGAAGATTTCTGAGTTAAACTCAAGCCGGAAGTGCATTAGAACTGACCATCAGTCGAGGCACAACTGTTATGTTATCACATGTTACGTTTTGTTTACGACGATCAAAAACTTCACGGCTTGCGGACCATTTCAAATATTACCGCTCATAAACCCTCTTACAATTTTATATGTACTTACGGGAGGTTATATTTTCGGCCGGAGTTCCACTGAGATCGGCGTCGGCTGGCTGGGGAACGATCCGGACGGCATGACGGAGCGCCGGGCGTCATTGCTAGTGACCAACATTTTCTTACCGTGGGTGACTTGACTTCTTTTTTACCACAACTTGGTGTAAATATCGACGATAGTCAGAGGAAGTATGTTCATATATTGAAGTTCAACTTTATTTCCACTCGTCAATATTCTTATCTAAACATGCTATGGACGATCGATGTCGTTCCAAGTTCCCCGTGCCGGTGTTCCGCTATATTCCTGGGTCGTCCACGGATTTGTCACGTCGGGGGGAAACCTCAAATAAAGTACGCAACCCGACTTTGGCGAAGGCCCGAGACACTTTTGGGATTTGGAAAAGTTTTAAAAGTGCGTACTATATTTCGAATTTACGGCGTATTTCTTGTGATTCGGTACTACGCGACGCCATATTTTGGAAAACTTTTTCGGTGGCCCTCCCCCCAAGGCTGATTTTTTTTTCGATGGCCCTCCCCTCGGTTAAAATATTTTTTCGATGGCCCTCCCCCCAGGCCAATTTTTTTTTCAATGGCCCTCCCCTCCAGTGCACCAGCCCCCCCCCCGGTAAATATCGTACAGTCCCTAAGTGTGTTGCATAAAACCTAATGTCGAATAAAACCTAACAAATCTATATCATAACCATTCAAATAATAAGGGATATCACAGTTTTTGATAAAGTGTTACAATCGAGTGGGCTAATCACAAGTTTCGGCATTTTTTCTAGTAGCAAAGCATTCCAGGACCTTTATATATCTAGTACCTATTTTTGCGTTGTGGGGACCATTACATGTAAAGATATATTCAAATCTGTCTCCAACAACGAGAATCTTAAAATCTATGGTACTTGATTCGAGAAATGTAAAATTATATGAGCTCTATTTTGAAAAGATACCCTGCACTTTTGAAAAGTCTGTTCAGGGCTCGAAATACTGGGTGCATGTGCACCTGTTAGTGCACCCAAATTTGGAGCTGTGCACCCAATTTTTTTATGTGGGTGCACCAGTACACCCAAATATTTTCGTAGGTTTAGGTTATACTTTGTAAAGATGTTAAACAGGGGTTTTTATAGAAAAATTTGGCATGAGGTAGCAGTATCACGGCGAGGGAGCGAAGCGAGCGAGGGGGGGGGGGGTTGGTGAGGAAGAGGGGTACCCCCCCTTCCGCCATGTGAAGCCTTTGAAAATTTGAGGTTGAAATGGGACATTTTGAGGCTACTTGAGGGGGGAAATTTGAACTTTTACCTCAATGTACCTTTCCCAAATTTCTATTCATGCATTGCATATTTCACTTATAAAATATAAGTACAATCAACAGTACACACAATCTGCAAATCACCCTTTATACACTTACACAATTAGTGATCAATGTTACTAGTATCCCCAGATGACAACATTGGGTTTGCCACAAGCTGAAACCTTTCCCATGGCACAATTGGAACACATTCATCCAAGCTGCTACAAACTCAGGTCTCATGTTTCACTTCAGAGCCTGTTCTATAGTATGCAAATGAAGGAGGTCTAGCTACAAGTTCTCAATGAACATTGTTTATTCCATTTAAACTTTTACTACTAGAGCTAAATTTTCAAGTTTGTGGTAAGATTTTGGATTTTTATGAGAGTAACATAGTTTGTAATGCTAGAAACGAAGTATTGTTATGTGGTGTTGTTTTTGTATTTTTACTGGAAAAAGATGATATTGAAAAAGACTTAGGCTTCAATCTGAAAATTGATATGAGGGCGCTGGTTTGTTACATGAGGGCGCAGCGCCCTTGTTCCCCTGTTCAGAAAACCCCTGTTAAATATATACTAGTATACAATATATTCTCAACATCTAAGTGTCAGAAAAATGATGAAGTCATTGCTATTACTTTTCTTTAGAAATGAAACATAATTAGTTTTTGCTGACATTCTATTTATTTTATTTTATATGGTGCACCTAAAAAAATTTTGTGCACCAAATTCATTGGGTGCACCAGTGCACCTATTCCCAAAAAATGAATTTCAAGCCCTGAAAAGTGTTTGTTGTTAATTAAGGGCCACCATGATGTACATGTACAGTGGTCGAAATACTTTTTTTCAGTGCTCTGCAATATTGCAGAAGAGTCAAAATTTTGTTCTGCAATTTGGAAATACTTTCTGCAAATACACAAGCCTCCATACTATAATCTTGCAAGTTTATAAGCATGAACTATTGATTGATATGCAAATTAGTGGACAAATTTTTGGAAGTCCAAAAGGAAACAAAAGATAAACAAGTCAAGACAAGGTTGATGTAAATTAGTGAAGAAGCTCCTGTTGTTTCAGAACAGGAGCTTAAGTGTTGTCTTTCCTTGGGGCCAAAAGCACCAAATCCCAAGTGCCAATTTTTCCTGCTGCAAAATTGCAGATTGTATAAATTTTTCTTCTGCAATCTTGAAAATCTATCTGCAGATTGCAGACTGCAGACAGGTATTTCGAACACTGATGTATGTTTCTACATTGTATATTTTCACAGCACATCAGCCCACAGCTGTCATTGGAGGCTGTCACCTGTCTGGCTGTCCTGTGTCACAAACAGCGAGTGGACAAGCTGCCCAAAAGGTGGGGAACTGAACATGGCATCCACTTAAAATAAAAGACATTTATTGTGCATTTATGCCCTTATGCTATGATAGTCGTAGGCTAAATGTAGGTCATGGTGATAAAGTCTATGTACAATAACAGTAATACAAGTTTCATACCTTAGGCCATGTTGATTTGATTATATGGATGACATCCGCGCACGCATGAATTTTCGGCCATTTCCCCCCCCCAAAAAAACGTTTTCAACCATACTGTAAATCATGCAAAACAGTTGCTAAATGAGCAAAAATATACCATAAGTTGCAAGGAAAACATTTAGAAACGATACCAATGTCGTAGAATGCCAAAATCAAAGGAAAAAAGACAAAAATGTAAAGAAAAGAATTCGAAGAGTAGATTATTCGCCAGAACATATTCTGTGCCATTTGTTCAACCTTCATGACCACGTAGATTTCATAGTGAAAGCAACTTTTTTTTTGCAAAACTTTTTTTTTATTCGCACGCGCGCATCAGTTTTGCATCCTCCTTCGCAGGGCTAAAATCCTCCGGTTCCCTTCCGGTTTTAGCCCTGCTATTTACCGCTGACAGTTTGACTTCTGGTGACGTCACCGCCAAACTGCTGTCAGCCAATCAGAGAATTTGCGCACCGAGCTTTGCGCAAAAACCGCAAAGGTCGCTGGGAACCTATTAGCCAATCAGGTTACGTCTTACATGACAGGCCAAGATGGCGGCTATTACAGATACTAGAAGTTTCGTGCGAGCCGTGCAAGATTTATTTGGAGTCGAGCGGCTTCTTGAGCATCAGCAGTCGACGCTACGGGCGCTGCTTGATGGCAGAGACGTTTTTCTGATTGTGCGGACAGGAGGAGGGAAGAGCCTGTGCTATATGGGCTTCCCAGCAGCGGCCAAAGCCCTGGCCAAAGTCGAGACAGAGTTAGGGCAAGCCCCCCGACATCCGTCTGGTTTGTGCCAAATAAGGCAAGCTCATGAATTATTTATAAGTGACGTCACCAGAAGTCAAACTGTCAGCGGTAAATAGCAGGGCTAAAACCGGAAGGGAACCGGAGGATTTTAGCCCTGCGAAGGAGGATGCAGTTTTGGGGTTCCCAGAGGATGTCATCCATATAGTCAAATCAGCATGGCCTTACTATAGCTGGAATACTAATTTGTACAAGTTCATCTTGCTTCTTGATCACAGTTGTAAGTATAAGAACAGATCGAGCTTAATGGTCTTGGTCTGGTCTTGGGGATTAAGGTAGCCAACATCAACTTGCTGATGATTCTGCTACACTGTAGTATTTGGGCTGTAGAATTTGGACCATCGGACACCGGGGCATGCTTCTACTCTTTTTCGAAAGGTGTGGTGGGTTCTTAAACGTGCTCGAGGTGTGGACCTCCAGTTTACGTCCTATCCGAGGGACATCCCTAATCGAAGCTAGGTACTCATTTACACCTGAGTGAAGTGAGGAAATTCGTGTAAAGTGCCTTTCCCGAGGGCACAAGATCGGTGACATGGGTGGGGATCGAACCCTGGACCTCTAGGTCCCGAGCCGAACGCGCTACCGCTGCACCACACAACCCCACAAATATGTAATATTAAAAAAAGAAGTTGCTGTATGTTTCTCTGTAAGGCATATGAGCACATTGTAATACAGTTTGAACTCTTGAGCTTCTGTTTTGTACAGATCCTTTAAGCTCCTGTGCAGAGTACCCGGCCTGGTGCAGACTTTAGCCAGACTGACCACTGCCCATGAGATCACAGGACTGCTGACCGTGTTCCTACCTCAACTGGTCAAGGCTGCGGTCAATGACACAGGTTTGGTGCTTGTTGTACAATGCTTTAAAATATCTACATTTTGATCAATCAAACATAATGTTAAGCATGTAGTAGTAAGCAAATGTAAACTTCATAAGCCTATAGAATAAGTGGGTAACATTTGGTTCGTGATTGTTATTCTTTATGCATTACCTACGTCCTAACCTTCCTTACAGCGAAGAAAGTGTATGGAAAAGTGGTACCATAGTACTGTAAACTTGTGTAAAGTGTAAAATGTTACACATTACACTCTAGTGTGTACCTCTGTCCTTCTTCCCCTTCCACTGCATGTACCAGTATTGACAAGAGGAGAAAGTACCACAGTAAAGTTTAATGTGCCATATTACATCTGTGTCCATAACATCACCAGAGTCCATAATATCGCCACCTTGAGAAATAGTGTGCTTTAAGATATTTTTACTGCAACATACCCTAGGTATGTACATTTGATGTGTGAAGGAGTGCGTACAAAAGTATGTTGCAGTGAAAATATATTTTTAAGCACACTGTTTCTCAAGGTGGCGATATTACGGACCCTGGTTATATTATGGACACAGATGTTATATACTATCTAACCCTGCATTTTCAGTGTTCGAAATACCTGTCTGCAGTCTGCAATCTGCAGATAGATTTTCAAGATTGCAGAAGAAAAATTTATACAATCTGCAATTTTGCAGCAGGAAAAATTGGCACTAGCGATTTGGCGCTCTTGGCCCCAAGGACAGACAACACTTATTATATATAAGCTCTTGTTCTGAAACAACAGGAGCTTCTTCACTAATTTGCATCAACCTTGTCTTGACTTGTCTATCTTTTGTTTCTTTTTGGACTTCCAAAAAGTTGTCTTCACTAATTTGCATATCAATCAATAGTTCATGCTTATAAACCTGCAAGATTGTAGTATGGAGGCTTGTGTATTTGCAGAAAGTATTTCCAAATTGCAGAACAAAATTTTGACTCTTCTGCAATATTGCAGAGCACTGAAAGAAAGTATTTCGACCACTGATTTTGTACTCATTAGTACCTCTATTCTCCAGTCTCCACCACCACAGGTACCAGTAGTGAGGGTGAGGATGGTACCACAGGTCCTGTCAGCTACTGTGGTCTCCTGGAGAACCTGCTGTTAGATGTGGAACTGCCAGAATCACTGCAAACTCTAGTAGCCAAGTAAGTCTTGACAGACAGATGACAGAACATTTTTATTTAGGCCACACCAATTTAATTTGTTGGTTGTCGGATTTTTTCAGAAAAAATATGAAGCGACAGGGCGAAAAAAAAATAAAAATAAAAACAGGTCTAGGCATCCTATTATAGGCTTAAATGCTACAAAATGAGCCATTAAGTCAACACAAAAGGCTGGGTTAAAATTTAAACATTGAATTTTGAACTTTTAATCAAACCACTGCAATGATAGATGGGAAAACTGTAACAACTAGGAAGAAAAGGACTTTCCTCAACTGTTGGGGGCAAAACATGAGCATTTTTCAGTTGATTCAGGACCAGAATCAAATTTTTTTTTTTGCAAATCAGAAAAAAACGAAGAGGCGAATCCGAGAACCAACAAATTAAATTGGTGTGGCCTTATTTAGTCTTCAATGACACCTGGGTAGCTCCTTCAGCCAATAGCTGATTTCCAAGGAGGCCCAGGGGAAATACAATATGTAAAAGAATAATAGATTATACAAAGTACATAACAAAAGATGTAAATGAAAGCAGTATAACTGAAAGTTATACATAAATAAATGAATAATGCGAACTAAGGGAATTTACAAGAAACATAACTTCAAATCATAATCATCATCAAGTTAAACGATTTCCGTTCAATATCATTGGAGGTCAGAGGTCATCTTAATAGCTGCCTTGAAGTGTTTTAAAGTTGGAATCTGCCTTTCTTCTGCTGGTAGTCTATTGAAGTACGTACCTTGCACCCTTTTGTCCTGGCTTGTTCATACTGAGAGTAAGCACGTCGGCAGAGGGTACTGCGCCTGTGCAAAACCCAGATATTTTACGGTTTTATTTGGATGTTTCGTCAACGTTGCTTCAGAATTTTGTCTGTTGCAGAGGATATCTTTCCCAACACAACATTTATAAACTACAGACGGGATGGTAACCACATATGCACGGATATGACCTTATGTGAGACGTTCTGCCGAGAGCTATGCATAATTCATTACGGGTTTCGCACAGGTGCAGTACATTCTGCCGACATGCTCTGAGAGGAGGGCCTGCAAGCCCTTTTTCGTAAGGCGTAATCAGGCCGTTTTAGACTTCGTAATTCGTAGGCAGCCTCCGCAAAAATCAACGTAATTCGTAATTGGACATCAGCCGCAAATTGTAAAGTCGTAATCAGCTCTGAGACTTTAACGTAATTCGTAATAGGCGACGAAAATTTTGCGTAATTCGTAATCACTACCCCCCCCCCCCTGCAGGCCCTCTGAGAGTAACTAGTACAACTCTTAGTGTGACCCAAAATTTCCCTTTTTAAGATTTTGCCATTAATTTTAATAGTGAATGTAAGCAATGTGCACGGCAAATTGGTACAACAAAATTCTTATGGATCCGGAGGGTTGCTAGAAAAGATACATGTTCAGGTTTTAAAAGTTGAAGGGAAATGCTCATTAGTATTTCATCAATTTTTGTTTTGTTTTATGTCTTTTCTTCAGAACCTTGTTCCAGGACTACCTTACAGTTAGAAGTCAGATGACAGGGAAGTCACCATCAGCAGTGCAGTCTCTGAATGAGAGGGCGGGGCCTATTGTCAAACTGATTGACAGGAGGTACCCTGTTGCCATGGACACCATCCTGCAGATCCACATGGGTCAGAGTGCAGAGGAGGTGTCTGAGGTTTCCCATGATGCCGAGCATGTGCAGGAGTTTGTTAGCCTGTCACTTGCAGGGTTAAAACACCAGCTGGTCCCTGAAGCACAGACTTCCCTGGTGCTGTCTCTTAACCATCCAAATGCTACTGTACGCAGAAATGCCGTTAAACACCTACCAAAGGCCTGGCAAAGGCAACAGGTATTGATAAAGGGTTAATGCCCCGCCCCGAGGTGTATATGGTAAGGTAATCCCTGGTCAGGTGCGATAACCAGGAAATTTGGTTTATGAGGTGATTATCGCACCTGACCAGGGATTATCTCCCAATATACACTGAGGATAAGGTGGGGTGTTAACTTTTTATGATATGGCCTATCCAACTGACACAGTTACAAATGTATTTGACACAAATTCCTATATAACACATAAACGCTTTAACACATTACATACATTATGAATACATTTCAATATACAAAATGTATTACAAATATACTTTCAACTTAACAAAATGCAGCATGGCAACAAATCATATATGGGTGTCGAACATTATGTTAATTCTTTTTTGTTCAAATTTCATATTGTATTTTCAAATAGATTATTCAAAGTAAAGTACAATGCATTGTAATTTGTATAGTAGAAAAAACAAAATGTATTACAAGTTTTCACATTACTGTTAGTATCCTGTCCCCTGTATAATGGTATGGTCCAAAAAGTGGTCGGTTATTCTAATAACTGCATTCCCATTTGATGATAACAAATGTCATCCAACTGTGTTACAGGGAGAAGCTGATCTACAGTTTGTGAAGGATGCTCTGATCCAGAGGCTTGGAGATGATGATGATGATGTAGTGATGGCAGCACTAGATGTTCTGAAGGTATTTACTCTTTACTCTAAGCAGTGTAAATTTGTCAATGTTATTAAGTAGTAAACAGTGTAGTCTTAGTTAAACTATACTTAGGCCATGTTGATTTGATTATATAGATGACATCCTCCGGGAGCCCCAAAACTGATGCGCGCGTGCGAATAAAAAAAAAGTTTTGCAAAAAAAAAAGTTGTTTTCATTATGAAATCTACGTGGTCATGAGGGTTGAACAAATGGGACAGAATATGGTTTGGCAAATAATCTAATCTTCAAGTTCATTTCCTTACAATTTCTTCTTTTTTTGTTTGATTTTGGCATTCTACGACATTGGTATAGTTTTGACTTATTTTTTTGTAACTTACGGTATATTTTTTGCTCATTTTACAACTGTTTTGTACGATTTACAGAATGGTTAAAACCTTTTTTTTTTTGGAAACGGCCGAAAATTCATGCGCGCGCGGATGTCATCCATATAATCAAATCAACATGGCCTTATTGTTTAATACTGAGGGGATGGGGTGTGATATATACTGCAGTAACCTGTTATGATCAAAGACCTTGTATTTATTATTAGAAGAGTGTGTGAAGTCCAGCCAACTACTGCCTCAGCCCCTCAGGGCACCCTGCAGTAGTAATCAAGAAGTACTGGATAATACTGTACTGCTACTTAGTGCTGTGTACATGTATCTAAACCCACATTCAGGTCCAGGTCTGGATTCAAGTCTAGAGGTTTAGGTTCAGATCAGGACTTGTACATGTAAGTCTGAACCTAAACCCAGCAGGGCATATAAAAAATACAGAAGGGACTTCTCAGTGAAAATTTCCCAATGGAAAAGGGGGCATCTTTACCACAAAATTTTGTAGCAAGCACTGCACTACATGTACCAGGGTTTAGAAGCAAGATATGTTGTTTACGGGATACATCTGGGAAAAACTGTGGCCCTCAGTTAGAGGGATACTGGGCCCTACTAGGGTTTGGGTTGGCGTTAGGAAGAGCATCCAGCCGTAAAAATCCTGCTTCAAAAAAAGACTTGTACTAATGGTGCAAGCACGCCTAACCCCCAGTTGGGGAAAAATGACGTTGAAATTCGGTTAAAAAAAAAAAAAAACAATAATTTATGGAGGCCGACGTGTTTTCTTTATTTTGCAGTGAAAATATTTTACTATTGAAGATTTCAGGTGGTTGAGAACAAAAAGGGGAATGTGACATGATTTTTTTTTTGTACGTTCAGGGTTTTTTTCGATTTGAACCTTAACATTTTTACAAGTTCGGAACTAGTTCCAGCAACCTAGTACACAGCACTACTACTACTACATGTACTACTAGTCTACTACTACTACGGCTAGTCCACTATTAATACTAGATAGTATAATTGTAACAGTCTCTGTTTTATACAGTTTTAGTAGTTAAGCTTGACTATTTAACCCTTGTCTCCAGGACCTGCCCACCTTACCAAAGGAAGGACTTGAAGACTCGTTGATTCCATTACTCCACCGGAGCGACGTGAGCGAATCAGCGGCCGACGTCCTGACCAGCGAGGTTCTCCTACGGGATAACCCCACCGTTCACGACAAGGTGGCGGTCGCCGTTTTACCCCTCATGTTCGTGGTCGTCCCTGATGCCAAGTCTGCGGAGGTCACCACGGCCGCCATGTTAGCGCGGTCGTACTTGTGTCAGGAACATCCGCTACTCAAAGGGGCCCAGCAAGGTACACATGATGGTGCATGTAGGTTGAGAACTTTTCATTGAAGAGTTTTATCAGTCACGTAGGCTTAACAGTAGAATATTCTTCAATCAGTGACTGTTTTTGAAGGTATTACTTGGCCACACCGATTTAATTTTATGGATGACATCCTCTGAAGCCCCCCCAAACTAGTGCGCGCGGGCGAATAAAAAAAAATTCTGGCCAAAAATAAAAATGCTACTAAACCACAGGAATACAAAGCTGGTATTGTGAATTTGCGGAAGTACTTAGCGACGTATACGACAAGCCGGCACTTGCTGGCTTTTTGCGGCATTTATGAATCGGTACTGTACGTATGTACTGAGGTCTTGAGTCGTGGAGCTTCGAATTCGATAGCCTGGGTGCTCGGCTCCGTTTTGTCGCTGACTACCATGGACTACCCAGGCTAAGAGCCAGGCCAGAGCCTCAGTGGAGGTGATCTTTTTTTTTTTTTTTGAGGACAACAGGCGAAAATCAATGCGCGCGGGGATGTCATCCATAAAATTAAGTCGGGGTGGCCTAAATTCACGTTCCTCCAACTCTGCTGACTGTACACCTTGATCACGGAGTGACCTAGTCTTGCGAGAACACGAGACTAGGGAAGCCAGAAGATTTACACAAGTCTCGACCAAGTCTCGTGTTCTCGCAAAACTAGGTCACTCAGTGATCAAGGTGTACAGTCGACACTGAAAATTTGGAGGTATGTGATTTTACCTTCAAAAACAGTCACTGATTGAAGAATATTCTTAGGCAGGCGGACTAATGCATGCACCTATGGAACAGAAATTTTGGGACCAGGATAAGGTGGTTGTTATGGCCAGGTGCTGGCTTGTCAAGTTTAGGAGGTGTTTAATCGGACAAGTTTGGCGGTAAATCTATATAATCTATATTTTGTGGAAATCAGTGCAAATGTTCCTCCCATTTTTCTTTGTACTAACTACATGTACCTTTCTTATTTCCCCAGCATGGAGCCATCTGAGTCAAAGTAGTGATGTCAATGTTGTCATGGCAACAGCCAATCAGGGCCTAGTCAGTCATCTTTCAGGGAACCTGGCAGCCATGGAACCAGACATGAGGCAGTCCATGGTGCTTTTCCATTGTCTCTTTTTATATTACCTTTAGGCCACACCATTGTCTCTTTTTATATTACCTTTAGGCCACACCAATTTAATTTCTTGGTTAACGGATTTTTCTAGAAAAACAATGGAGCAGGCGGGCGAAAAAAAATAAATTATTATGGCCCAAAAAAGTATGATAGGAACCATGAAGTGAACACACCAGGCTGGTTCAAAATTTAAACAATAAATTTTGAACTTTTAATGATCTTACCATTGCATTGAAAGATGGAATAACTTTAACAACTAGGAAGAAAAGGACTGTTTTCAACTGTTCAGGGCATAATATGAGTATTTTGCAGTTGATTCTGAATTTTTTTTTTTTGCAAATCAGAAAAAAATGAAGCGGGCCTTTAGGCCTTAGCACACTAAAGTAGCCATTTTGATACCTGTTCTCAATTGTTATGAGGATGTTATGGTGACAGTCAATACCTAAATGTTAGAGTGTCAGTCCAATCATTATCAATTGTTAAAGACTGATATTTACTAATTTGAAAGCAAATATACAAACCTCTTTATTGGGCAGTTGTTAGCATTTTCACTTTGTTTTAAAAAAATAGACTGATCCCAAATGTCCATCACAATTAGAAGTTCAACCAATGAGAGAAGGGCTAATTAGCGGTTCGACCAATGAGAGAGTGGCTTTGCATTTCTATGTTTTGACGGAGGTGGGCGGGGCTTCAGGATCAGTCTATTCATCTGCAACTATCAATTTTTTTTCTCTATTTGTGTTCTTAGGTACAAAAGCTGTACGAGGCAGCAACATCTCCAGCAGCGGTTTGTGGGAATCTTCCCATGGTTGTCAGCTTCATCCTGGCAAATTTGATCAGGCAGCTAGACCCGGGCGACCAGGGGGCCTTGTGTCAACAGGCACTGGATCTGGTCTGCAACAGGCTGCATCAAGTGGGGTCTTCAGAGGACGGCAAGCCATTGCGTAGGGTTAAGGTAGGGTGAGAAATATTTCAGAAAAATTCCTGCAGTTCAACTGAAGGGAAATATCTATGTTTACCCAAGGAAAACATTGTTTTTGCTCTGTTTCTTCTTCTTCCATTCTAAAACACTAACCTCTGACCTGGTCAATGACCTTAACCAGACTTTCTGTCACCATGGTAACTGGTGTTGGGTTACATTATGTTGCAATTTTATAGTAGGAGGGATTTAGACTCCTGTCACTATATATGTAAATGTGTTTGGGTAGTAAGAATTAACTAACAGAGCAGACTATATGCAAGGGTAAACATTATGCATTTGCTTTGAAAATGTTAACCTTTCTAGTTTAATCTTGCTTTAATGTTATATGTTCTCACAGTGTTTACTAGTACTGGCAACAATTCAGCATCTCTTTTGCTGCCAAGGTCTTAAAGACAATTCCAACTTGACACCATGAAATTACTCCCCCTTGCAGGGTGCACAGGATCTGCAGAACCTAAAATTTCTCCACACCAAGGTTGCCATCATGCCACAGAACCTAACAATTCACTACCAGAAGATGAGTCATCAAGGCTTGGGACCTGACAGTCCACAGTTTGTGCCTGTTCTTCTGTGGCTACTGAACAACATTATAGTCAACCTACATGTGCCAGCAGATTTGACTTGTGAGTAGTCATGTTAGAATGCCATTGGTCTGTCTTCTTAAGGCCATGTTGATTTAATTATATGGATGACATCCGCGCGCGCATGAATTTTCGGCCGTTTCCAAAAAAAAAGAAAGTTTTCAACCATACTGTAAATCGTACAAAACAGTTGCAAAATGAGCAAAAATATACCGTAAGTTACAAAAAAGACACCATACCAATGTCGTAGAATGCCAAAATCAAACGAAAAAACACGAAACTGTAAAGAAATGAACTTGAAGACTAGATTATTCGCCAAACCATATTCTGTGCCATTTGTTCAACCCTCATGAGCACGTACATTTCATAATGAAAACAACTTTTTTTTTTTGCAAAACTTTTTTTTATTCGCACGCGCGCATCAGTTTTGGGGTTCCCGGAGGATGTCATCCACATAATCAAATCAACATGGCCTAACTTGTGCCTGGTGTAATGTGTTGTGGCAATAACAGTTGTAATAGGTCCTTAATAGCATTTATGCAGAAAACGTAGTTCAAATACTGTTCTAATGCATAATTAACAATATATAGATGGTGTTTAGCACCAAGGACAGGTGTTATTTCATTTGTATGGATAGTGTTCAGCTCCTAGGACATGAACATGTTTCAGCACCAAGGACAGGCCTGTTTGTTGATGGTGTTCAGCACCAAAGACATGTCTGTTTGTGGATGGTGTTCAGCACCAAGGACAGGCCTGTTTGTGGATGGTGTTCAGCACCAAGGACAGGCCTGTTTGTGGATGGCGTTCAGCACCAAGGACAGGTCTGTTTGTGGATGGTGTTCAGCACCAAGGACAGGTCTGTTTGTGGATGGTGTTCAGCACCAAGGACAGATTACTGTACCAGCACCAGGTTGCTGTACCAGCTTCCCTAACCTATATTAAATGCTGTCTGCAGCTAAGCAGTGGTGGAGCCAGCAGACAGCTGACCCTTCCCAGAAGTCCTACCTGTCCCTGCTGGTACAACTCTTTGACCTTCTAGTGACCTTCACATCAGGGGCAAAAGCTGACCACCATGTACAGCACTTTAGACAGCTCATGCAGAACTTCCTCAAGGTGACCTCTAACACTTCCTAAGACTTGATCATAGAATGTAACATAACACTGTTGAATTCACACTCTAGTGTTGCTAGAAACTTCATTGGTCCTAGGAAAAAAATGTTGTGTTTTCTGTTTCAGTTCTGAAAAAATTAGTGCCGGTAGGTAGGGATTATCTTTTTTTTCTTGTTTTTTCATTAGATTTCTGCAATCTCTAGTGATTCAACTTATACAATGCAGTTTAACAAAGTAAAACTTGCATGAGGACACTTATATTTCCAATATCAATGTTTGAAAACCAATTGTACAACATTTCTTCACTCAGGTGTCAGATCATGAAGCTAGAAAAGGTTGATAAGCTCAATCAATTTATGTCCCTTGCAGGGGTCCACCCCAAAAAGGCTAGGGTCGGCAGTTTTTTCTAGGGTCAGTTGGGATACAGGAAGTACAACTTTTTTTCCTAGGCCTTGTACATACATACATTGTATGCACCTAGCACTAGTCATTTTCCTAGAGTGTTGTAGGGTCGTTTCCAAATTGTTGGTTTTTTTTTGTTTGTTTGTTTGTTTCGCATATCCAGTAAACCACCTTTAGGCATAACACACCAGTTTTGTACATGTACATGTACATGTAAGTACAAGCTGCACTCACACCGGGAAGGTCCCCTACTATTTTCGATAAGTGCGGTGGGTTCTTTAACGTGTGTGGGGTGTGGCTCTCTCCAAACACGGGACCTCCATTTAACGTCCTATCCGAGGGACGTCCCTAACCGAAGCTAGGTACTCATTTACCAGTGAGTGAAGTGAGGAAAGTCGTGTAAAGTGGCTTCCTCAAGGGCGCAAGATCGGTGACATGGGTAGGATTCGAACCCGGAACCTCTCGGTTCAAGGCCGAACATGCTGCCGCTATGCCACACGACCAAATAAGCTGTTTCCAAATTGTTGTTGTTTATCTAAACAAAACCTGTCTTCCCAGGTGCACCTGCCAGACACAGCCTCCTTATTCAGGTTCCTGTCCATGTTGTGGGTGTGTCACCATGACGACAGCCACACCCGAGCCCTGGTGCAGGTCAGGGCGCTCCACATGGCAGCTGTGTGTATCAACAGCTCTGGAGACAAGGCAGCGTCTAAACTCATGGGCAAGGAGTCTGGTGGTATGATATTCTTTTAAATTTTCTAGGTGGTACCCCCAAAAAAGCCCGGAATCCTACCAGTAACGGTGCACACCCCAGTTCTTGCGCGACCGGGGTCCGTGATAGTCCGTTGTAAAAAAGTGACAAAAGGGTTTTGAGGGTCCAAGTTTGAGGTGACATTTCTTATAAACTGCCACGAAGTATCATTAAACATTAACATGGCTGAAGAGTGTAAGAAATGGTGTTTTTGGGGTGAAAATTTCTTTTGGCTCCGAACCTTACTTCCGGGTATCCTTGCGCGCCAAGTGTAATCCGCCCGTTTGACCTAGATTTCGCTCTGCACTTTCGTAGGGGTGCATTTGCAACCCCTCGCGCCGTGGACTGTTTAGAAAATTACAGTACCAGAATTTTGTTTATAATTTACTCGGGTATAGTCAAGGCTTGGGTCTTTCTGCCAGCATCAGTCGTTTCTGCCGGAAAATTTTTTTTCTATGGGATTATCCTACGCAAAAATTCGCAATTTTGGGTATTAATTTTGGAGTGAAAAAAATGATTTTTCCGTTGATTTTACCAAACTTAAAAGGTTTAAGAAACCAAACTCAGCTGGTCTTGTAGCTGAAGAGATATCCTTTTGTCCCATATACAGTCATTCCGAATTATTCCACGCCAGAGACGGTCGCTAGATTTGAGGGTGTGCAGCTTCCAATCGAGACGCCAAATAAACTGGGGTGTGCCCCCGTAACCATTTTCCATCACAATGTAATATTATATCTTCTTTTATTTCCATTTCAGGGTTGGACAAGTTTTCAAAAATCGAGTTGCCGTATTGGCCAAGTATATTTCCACTTCCCCAAACCAATTTTTCATTTGCCCAAAATATTATATAACATTTTTATATGCATTTTTAATACTAAAAATTATTTTCTTTCAGAGTTTATAACATATTATTCTGTGTCCATAATATCACCATATTCCATAATATTGCCACCTTGAGAAAAAGTGTGCTTAAAGATATTTTTACTACAACATACCCTAGGTATGTACATTTGAGGTGTGAAGGAGTGCATACCAAAAGTATGTTGCAGTAAAAATATCTTAAAGCACACTGTTTCTTAAGGTGGCGATATCATGGACTATGGTGATATGGACACGGATGTTAATGCTGCATGCTTTATTTATCAAAATAAGGTGGTTTGAGACTTTCTGTTTGTGATTTTCTGACTTAATATAATATAATATTGGCAAAATGATGAGTAATTTTGCTCCAAACACCATAGTGGCCATACATGTACATGTACTTTGCATCCAAAAAATTTACTTGCCCAACCTTGTGGAAATTTGTGTTCCACATTATATTCTCTGTTAGAAGTAACACTGTCACTAGCCTAACTGTAAAGCAAAGAAAACAAAAACACGATAAACAGATGAAGAAGAACTTTATTGCGCAACAGATGTAGCGGGTACAACGTATGGCAAAATGATACATACATAGTTTGTGGTGTTAGCATACACATATGGTGGTGTTGAGAATATCTAACAGTTCTACTAACTGTAATAGGAATCTGGTCTGCTTCATAAACATGTATTACAAAAGAGAGACACTAATTATACTAATCTAACTCTATTAATACAATGTAGTAATAAATTGTGTCAGGAATGAATTACATTTTCTCGTTTTGTCATTGAATTGTGTACAAATTGGCCTACATAAGTGGAAATGTTGACAGGGCATGATAGTAACATATAGAATATCTCTGTTTTTGTATGGGGTAGTGTTATATTGGTCTTACATGTAATATGTTGTAACAATTTTCGTCGGTTTTCATCATAGGTTGGGCAATCTATTATAAAATGTCATTCGTTTTCAACGCCTTTTTAACACGTGGGACACAGTCTCTCATTGGCTGGTGTAAACATGACCTGTGATTATGCCCCCCTCCCCCAGTGCTGCCCTCCCTCCTAGTGACACTACAGCATAGAGTCCCTGCAGTCAGGGAAGCAGCAGTGGCAGTGTTGGAGGCACTGTTAAAACAGTCAGACGGTTCCATGTACGGAGAAGTCCTGGTGAAGAAACTTGTCCATGCCAGGGAAGAACTGGTAGCAGACAACAACCACCTGAAACAGGTAGGTTTAACATCCGTGTCTAGTGCTGCATACCGGTTCACTGGACTTGGATCCGGACTTGTAAGAATGTTTAGGTTCGAGTCCAAAAAAACCTAAAAGTCAAGAAGCGAGTCCGGACTTATTACCATAAAAGACCATTTTACATATCCCTTTTCTTTCCAAACCTTCTCAAACCCACCGTAGATTGTAAAATATTTGATGCAAAATGAAGAAAACATTGCCATCAGGCATCGTCAAGTACCGGCCTCCATGTTATGTGGCCAAAGTTTTACCCAGACAACATTGCGAGGTTGCCAACATGCAATTTTGTATATGCCATGGGTTTAGGTCTGGACTTACAAGTCCGGAACTGAACCTAAACCTCTGGACTTGAATCCGGACCTGAACCTAAAATTGGGTTTAGGTATGCAGCACTATCCGTGTCCATAACATAACCAGGGTCCATAATCAATCAATCAATCAATCAATCAAATGGTTTATTTGTAAAAAAACAAAACCTTGTAGCCATCAGCTAAATTGTGTCTTGCTGTACAATTTTGATTTTTGACATATCTGGCATAACACACTAAAATTACTAGTTACTCAATAAAATCCATATCATTATACATTGACATACTTAAAAATAACAGATACAATTTTAACATTAAAACTAAGAATTACAAACATATATTGAGTACTAACACAAAAATATACAAAGTAAATGAGACTAGAGGACAGACTAACCACCTTAGAAATATGATACACATTATTTGGAGGAATTGTTCAATATGCGAACCAGGTATGGTATTGGAGAGTTTTTCATGGAGAGTTGGAGAGCTTTTCATAATATCGCCACCTTGAGAAACAGTGTGCTTTAAGATATTTTTACTTCAACATACTTTTGGTATGCACTCCTGCACACCTCAAATGTACGTATACATGTACATACCTAGGGTATGTTGCAGTAAAAATATCTTCAAGCACACTTTTTCTTAAGGTGGCGATATTATGGACTATGGTGATATTATGGACACAGATGTTACATGTGAAATATCCATGTCTAAATCTGTTCACGTACATAAAAATATATTAGCTACTAAACAAACTTAGTCTAGTATACTAAGGCCCAACCATATACCTGCACTAGAAATAAAAGCAGTGTAAATTTGTCAATGTTATTAAGCAGTTAACAGTGTAGTCTTAGTTAAACTATACTTACTATTAGTACAACCATTTGTACAGTTTATACTGGAACATACTTATAGTCTAGTAGTATACTAAGGCCCAACCAAATACCTGCATTAGAAATAAAAGCATGCAGCATACGTGCTATGTACATTTGTCAATGTTATTAAGCGATAAACAGTGTAGTCTTAGTTGAACTATACAATGTACTTACCCAGTGCATACAACCGTTTGTGTTGATTGTAGGTTGTAAGATTAGGCCATGTTGATTTGATTGATATATGGATGACATCCACACGGGCATGAAGTTTCATCCTCCTCCCCCCTAAAAAAATTGAACCATACAGTGTAAATCATACAAAATGAGTGAATGTATGTAGTGTGTTTAAAAAAAAAGGTATTGGAAAATGATACTAATGTCATAGAATGCCAAAATTAATTCAGGAAAAGAATAAAAATTTGAACTAATGAAAATAAAGTCAGAGTCTGTATTTTAATTATTTGTGTGACTGTTTAGTCATTTGTTCAACCTTTATGACCACATAGATTTCATAATGAAGGAACCTTTTTTTTTTGCCAAACTTTTTTTATTCGCACACGCGCATCAGTTTTGGGGTTCCGGTTCCCAGAGGATGTCATCCATTTAATAATCAAATCAACATGGCCTAAATCATAAGCTTTACAATGTCTATGAAAGCTGACATTTCCAATACCTAATATTTCTTTCCAGGCTCTCCATGTCCTTTTTAAGCCCTTGGAACAGCCCAAGCTGCCTGTGAGTAAAGCATCTCCAGGCAAACACAAGCAGAAGGCTGAAGCTAAGCAGGCAGTGCTCCAGGCTACCTTGGACAGCCTGCTGGGTCATGTGACTGCTGAGGACACCCCTCCTCACATGAAAGTTGGTTTACTGGAAGCCCTGCAACTTGTCAACAGTCAGGTGAGGAGATTGTTTGTCACCAATATTAAACAACAAATGAATGTAGTGTAGTCTTTTCAAGCTTATAGAAAAAAAAAAAATAGTAACTTGAATGTCAGAAAGGAATTATAAACTTTCATTTGTTTATTAAAATTTTGTTTGTTTTGCATAACCTGTAAACTACCTAGGCATAACACACCAGTTTTGTACATGTAAGTACAAGCTTCGTAAGACCAGATTGTAAGGTTTGAACCACTCACATCGGAAAGGTCCCCTACTCTTTTAGTCTACTCTCTAATAAGTGCGGTGGGTTCTTTAACGTGCGTATGGTGTGGCTCTCCTCAAACACAGGACCTCCATTTAACGTGACGGTCTTATCTAAGGGACGTCCTTAACCGAAGCTAGGTACTCATTTCCAGTGAAGTGAGGTGACATGGGAAGGATTCGAACCCAGGACCTCTTGGTCCTGAGCCAAACATGCCATAATCGCCAATATCAACTACATTGTAGTCTCTTCAAGCTAAAGAAATTATTGTAACATGGATGTCATAAAAGAGTTATAAACTTACCATGGTAACGATATATTTACTATTTCTCTCATCATAATGATACATGTATTAATGATATTACTCTTCTTGTCACCAGGGAGTTTTGTGTTCCCTGCTGCCCATGCTGGGTGCCCTACTGGAGAAGTGTCCACATGGTCTCACACCAGAAGAAGCCGCCATCTTACATCACATCCTGGTGAGATACCAGGTCCCCACAGCTCCCCTCCTGCAGCCTTCCCATCAGGCCCTGCAGCTGTTCCAGAAGGCCATGGGGATCTGTGGTAAACCATGTGATGGTCAGGAGTCACCACAGACCATGGCTCTCAGACAGGTTCGTCTTTGCTCTGTTGATGATTTTTTAAGACTTTGAATGATGTAAATCTTTTTTTTTAGCACCAAGTTCAGCACCAAGGACAGGCCTGTTTGTGGATGGTGTTCAGCGCCAAGGACAGGCCTGTTTGTGGATGGTGTTCACCACCAAGGACAGGCCTGTTTGTTGATAGTGTTCAGCACCAAGGACAGGCCTGTTTGTGGATGGTGTTCAGCACCAAGGACAGGCCTGTTTGTGGATGGTGTTCAGCACCAAGGGCAGGCCTGTTTGTTGATGGTATTCAGCACCAAGGACAGGTCTGTTTGTGGATGGTGTTCAGCACCAAGGACAGGCCTGTTTGTGGATGGTGTTCAGCACCAAGGACAGGCCTGTTTTTGGATGGCGTTCAGCACCAAGGACAGGCCTGTTTGTGGATGGTGTTCACCACCAAGGACAGGCCTGTTTTTGGATGGCGTTCAGCACCAAGGACAGGCCTGTTTGTTGATGGTGTTCAGCACCAAGGACAGGCCTGTTTGTGGCTTGTCTTCACCACCAAGGACAGGTCTGTTTGTGGCTGGTGTTCAGCGCCAAGGACAGGCCTGTTTGTGGATGGTGTTCAGCACCAAGGACAGGCATGTTTGTGGCTTGTCTTCACCACCAAGGACAGGCCTGTTTGTGGATGGTGTTCAACACCAAGGACAGGTCTGTTTGTGGATGGTGTTCAGCACCAAGGACAGGCCTGTTTGTGGATGATGTTCAGCGCCAAGGACAGGCCTGTTTGTGGATGGTGTTCAGCATCAAGGACAGGTCTGTTTGTGGATGGTGTTCACCACCAAGGTCAGGCCTGTTTGTGGCTGGTGTTCACCACCAAGGGCAGGCCTGTTAGTGGGTGGTGTTCAGCACCAAGGACAGGCCTGTTAGTTGGTGGTGTTCAGCATCAAGGACAGGCATGTTTGTGGATGGTGTTAAGCACCAAGGACAGGCATGTTTGTGGATGGTGTTCAGCACCAAGGACAGGTCTGTTTGTGGATGGTGTTCAGCATCAAGGACAGGTCTGTTTGTGGATGGTGTTCAGCACCAAGGACAGGCCTGTTTGTGGATGGTATTCAGCACCAAGGACAGGCCTGTTTGCTGATGACAGGCCTGTTTGTGGATGGTGTTCAGCACCAAGGACAGGTCTGTTTGTGGATGGTGTTCAGCATCAAGGACAGGCCTGTTTGTGGATGGTGTTCAGCACCAAGGACAGGCCTGTTTGTGGATGGTCTTCACCACCAAGGACAGCCCTGTTTGTGGATGGTGTTCAACACCAAGGACAGGCCTGTTTGTGGCTGGTCTTCACCACCAACGACAGGCCTGTTTGTGGCTGGTCTTCACCACCAAGGACAGGCCTGTTTGTGGATGGTGTTCAGCACCAAGGACAGGCCTGTTTGTGGCTGGTCTTCGCCACCAAGGACAGGCCTGTTAGTGGATGGTGTTCAGCACTAAGGACAGTTCAAAGGTGTTCAGCACAAAGTACAGCCTTTTTGTGGTGGATGGTGCACATAAGTGATTGCTGTTTTTTTTTTTTTTTGTTTCAGATCACAAAAGAGTTCTTTTCCTCGCTGCCCTCCCCTGCTGTGAGACAGGCGCTGCTGTCTACACTGTTTGACCTACAGGTCATTGCCCCCAACCCTCAGATTGCCAAGGAGATCAGCCATGTCCTCAAAGTGGTAAGCATTCCCCATAAAAAAACTTTTTCTTGCATAATCCCAAACAAAGTGAAATAAAGTTGTAACAAGAGAGAAAAATACAAAAATAGTATTTTTGTAACTACTGTATGACTTTTTTCTTGTCCTCCTTAGATTTCTCTCCAGGCTGAAGAAGTTGCCATCGAGCTGAAGAAGTTCACCCAGTCTGCTCCTTCAACCTCAGTCAGAGGGGCCAAGAAGATGAGAAGGTAACTTTAAGTTAAGGCCACACCAATTTAATTTCTTGGTTAACGGACTTTTCTAGAAAAATAATGGAGCGGGCGGGCGTAAAAAAATAAAAATAACAACAGGCCTAGGCATCCTATTATGACCCAAAATGGTACGATAGGAGCCATGAAGTCAACACACCAGGCTGGTTCAAAATTTAAACAATGAATTTGGAACTTCTAATGATACCATTGCATTGAAAGATGAAATAACTGTAACAACAAGGATGAAAGGGACTGTTTTCAACTGTTCAGGGCAAAATATGAGCATTTTGCAGTTGATTCTGGATTTTTATTTTTATTTGCAAATCAGAAAGAAATGAAGCAGCGAATCCGTTAACCAAGAAATTAAATTGGTGTGGCCTAAAGGATTTTGTTTTCTGTACAGGGAAGTTCCTTTGCTAAATTAAGATGTCTCTGACAGTTGCTATTTGTAATGGAAAGAGTTTTTCATGTTCTTTATTCCTTTGAGTGATTTAACCAACTTTTTTAGGGTTTACTTGAAACTGTGAAATTTTGAAACTTTATTCACACACAATCTTGCAGACGATAAGTCCGAATCGGCAGGCATTTACAATGAAATAGGTTTAAAACGCTAAGGAGTTGAAAATAGACAATCAATCAAATTAGGTTTACAATCAATAAATATAAATGTGATAAAACTTGTATAGTCTTCTAAATATAATACAATTCATGAGGCCACGTCAGTATACAGATTGTCAGTTCAAGTGTTTTTTTTTTTTATTTTTTTTTTCCAAGAAATTTATTCAAGAAATATGAAACAATTCAGATACAAAGAGAACATGGGTAACAATAAACTACATAAAAACCAAAGACACGTTCAGTCATGGTTGACTAAAAGTAAGAACCAAGATGGCAAGAATAACTTATGTAAAATGTGGCAAAACAACTTAAATATGCATAACACAGCAAAAATGAATAATTAATCTGAACATAAAGTTCCCCACTTACCCCGATGCTTCTCCAGCTTCCCTCTCCGAGATGCAATAAGAAACTCTGTCTTTTGGTAAAAGGACACTAATTTTTTAAAGGACTGAAAATGTAGACTTTTATATCGCCTAGAGCGAAAGATAAAGACATTACCCAGTAAAATAATTAAATTCTTTCAAGAGGACGCATTTACAGATAAGTCACCAAAAATAATCACAAACGGAGTTAATTCTAAATTTAGACCAACTTCTTGGGTTAACCATTTTTCTATTTCTAACCAAAAATGGACGACATGAACACACTCCCAGAAAACATGTATATAAGATTCAAGTGTTTGTTCAGCAAGTTTGTCAGGTATTGCAGAGTTTTGTGACAAGATGTTCTACAGATGGGAGTGTCCAGTTTATTTACATTGACAAGTGCATGAAATCTGTGCCCTCGCAGAGCCACTCTGCAGGCCAAGGTAACGCAGCGGTCAGCAACGGACAGCGAGCCGTGGCGGCGTGTGACGGTCATCCTGGAAATGCTGCAGAACAAGAAGAAAGTGCGGAGCCTGCAGCTTATCGTGCCACCTCTGTTCGCAATTCTGGCAAGGTTCGTAGTCATTGGGGCTGATCCATTATCCAAATCTAAACGAGAATTGCACGAGTTTTAAACGACTTTTACACAACTTTTATACTAGTTTTGCACGACTTTTGCACAGCTTTTAAACTAGTTTGGCCCAAGTTTTAGAAGACTTCAAATGATAAGTTAAATGCTGTCTGTACTGTATGTGTAGGGACTGACTGTTACTTATATGGGATGTTCCTGTAAGGCCTAGGAAAAAAATGTTGTGTTTCCTGTTTCAGTCCTAAAAAAATTAGGGTCAGTAGGTAGGGTTTTTTTTTGTTTCTTTTTTTATTAGACTTTGGTAATCTCTGGTGATCAAACTCGAATCTGTACAATATAGTTTAACAAAGTAAAACTTGCATGAGGACACCTATATTTTCAATGTCAATGTTGGAAAACCGATTTTGCAATGTTTCATTACATGATCACAGATCATGGAGCTAGAAAAGGTCAATCAGCTCAAAAAATTCATGTCTCTTGCAAGGGTCCGCCTCAAAAAAAGCTTAGGGTCAGCATTTTTTTCAGGGTCGGCTGGGAAACAGGTAACGTAACATTTTTTTCCTAGGCCCAATGATAACTTTTGGAGCAACTTGGTACTGGTTTGTTAGAAGGGGTGGGAAATATTTGTGACAGTTTTGAAAGGAAATGAAAATGAATGATTGTGCATTCACTGAAAAAGTCTCTACTAGTAGTAATTAGTTAGGCCACACCAATTTAATTTGTTGGTTTTCGGATTTTTTCAGAAAAAATATGAAGCGACAGGGCGAAAAAAAATAAAAATAAAAACAGGTCTAGGCATCCTATTATAGGCTTAAATGCTATGGAATGAGCCATGAAGTCAACACAAAGTGTGAGTGGGTTAAAATTTAAACATTGAATTTTGAACTTTTAATCAAACCACTGCAATGATAGATGGGAAAACTGTAACAACTAGGAAGAAAAGGACTTTCCTCAACTGTTGGGGGCAAAACATGAACATTTTTCAGTTCATTCAGGACCAGAATCAAATTTTATTTTTTTTTGCAAATCAGAAAAAAACGAAGAGGCGAATCCGAGAACCAACAAATTAAATTGGTGTGGCCTTATAGAAGAAATTTGTGTTTTAATACTTGGCAAACCTGCCAAATGTTTTTGACTCAGGTGTTTAGAGGAGGAAGAGCAGACACCTGTGGAGTACCTGAAACAGCTGGTTCTCACCTGTCTACTCAACACCTGCGAGCGTCTCTCACCTGACAATAATCCTCTGCCTCCAGGTTATTGAATTTTCTTTTAACAGTTAACAGTTTGGTTAAAAGTTAACAGTTGATTGCATAATTTAATGCAGTTCAAGGGCTACAGAAACGGAGATGGGTGTAGCCATAAGCTACATGTACCATGCCTAGCAGGGTGAACTTTATTTGATGTTTACCGAAGGAAAACATATTGTTTTTGCTATGTTTCCTCTTCTTCTTCCGTTCCAAACACTGACCTCTGACCTGGCCAATGGCCTGATTTGTTGATGTCTCTCACCATGGTAACTGGTGTTGGGTTACATAATGTTGCAATTTTATGGTAGGAGGGATTTAGACTCCTGTCTGACCATATATGATTGTATTTGAGTAAGAATTAATTTTAAGTTTAACTGATGTTTGTTCCATGTAGATGTACTTCCAGAGGAACAGTTTAATGCAGAGCTGATTGTCCAGTGTATCCAGCTGTCTGACAGCCCACAGACACATAACCAGGCACTGCTGTTACTGGGGACAGCTGCTGGCCTCTTCCCTGTAAGTATGACCATCAAACCTCTGCAGGGTAAAAATGATACCGAGTCTACTTTGAATCACAACCACATAGTGATCCCAACCTATGGCTTGAAATTAACGGTGTCCCGATGGCCACTGACCACAAAAATTTTAGCTGGGACAACTAAAAAGACAATTTCGGACATTTTTGGGACAATAGAAAAATAATCAACATCAGAATGTCACCCTTCTTTGCCATTTACTCTGCAATTATAGCGCGCCTGAAAGTCTGAACGTAAGCAAAAAAAACTAACTTCAAGTTCACTTCCTGAAAAACAGGTTGGGACAGTTCATCCTCACTTGGGGACAATTGAAATTTATTTTTGGGACAGTGCTGGGACAACAGGAAAAAAAAATTATTTCGAGGCCTGCCAACCACATAATGAAAAATCTGTGACAGTTCCAAACTCTCAAAATGTAGTAACTCATGATCAGTATGTGTTAGCTGGTGCCTAAATACTTAGGCCAGAACTGGCCCCTTGCTTCTCTTATTTTTTCCCCTCCAGACAGCACGGTTCTTAGCTTTTTGTTCTGCAAACTAGAGGGACCATCCAGCATCATAATGATTATAATAACTAAATTTGGTCCTGCCATCTTTTGGGGGGTCTTCCTCTAGGTCTGGGGTTTTCAATGTCCTGGTGGTAGTACTCTCCAAGCAGAGGTTTGGGTTTTTGGGGGTATTTTTAGCGTGTTTTTAGGCTTTTTTATTAGGGTTTCTCTTTTGCACTGAATTTTTTTTCCCACCAAACCCAACCTCTGCCACGCCTGAATAGAACGCTTGAAATTCGAACATTAAGTTCGCGCAGGCGCACTACAGAATGCCCAGTGCCGTTCTGAGCCCCGGGGCGCCCCGGCAGTAGCAGGTAAAGCACATTTACGCCGTTATTGCAATATCAGGCCAGCTCCATTGCATCATCCAAACTTGCCTGGTGCATGGTCCTGGTTGAAAAGGACCGAAATAATATGGTGTTACTTGACAATAAAGCATATAAATTCGTTGATCCAGGTCATGGAAAAATCCACCCTCTTTTAAGAATCTACACCAAAAAAATACCACACCCTCCTAACGTAGCGTATTTAAGGACGTATGCGCGTATATAAGGATAAATCCCTGTGTAACAGTTTCCGAGCACCTGTGTCCGTAAAATATCTTTTGCAACGCTCGTAATTTTGTTGCAACGCTGTCCAAATACGCAACGGTAAGCGTGATACCATGTTTTCAGAATCGAACATCACCTTTCGCACATGCAGCGTGGCACACGTACACGACAATTTGTTTTCCACCAAACGCAGCCATGGAAGTACCTGAAACGTGCAATAACTAGAGAACGAACTGATAAACTGTGAATTGTGTGGGTCATCAGGTAGTTTTACGCTCAGCTGATGTAGAGAGGTCATGCGGTCAAGGGTTTTTTTACTTAAAGGTGCAGTTACCAGGCGACGCGGCCGAATGAATTCAGTTCTTTGCCTTAGTTATTAATCAATAAAACATTTCCTCAGAACTTTCATGTCAGATTACATTCATTATCTATTTGTCTACATGGATAATTGTAAAATACATGGTTGTATATGAGTACTGGGCCACGGAGAAGGGAAAACCCCAGCGGTTATTTGATTGACCCCGTAACTCTCCCAACTGCCCTTTCGCGGGGCGGCAAATTCAGAAACCCGGAAGTCCGGTCCCGAGCTGAGACATGGAGCGACTCTGCTTTATGCGGGGAAGGACACGGTTATCAGGGGGGGTGTCGACATGATAAAGTGATAGAAATCGACGTGCCGACATGCAAGAGGCTTGGTCTGCCCTGCGGCAGCCGGTTATGCCGACTGCATTACGATGAGGCGAAGCGCACCCCCAGTGTTGCTGCCCTATACCACCCACGGGCAGCCATTCCGATACACTTATCCCATGTCCTGCACGACTGCTGCGAGTTTTCCGGGACATGGCTGATGTAACTAACGGTACATCAATTTGTACGGCGTGCAGCAACACTGTAGATGCCACAAGAACCTTCTGCGACCACCCAGAGTATGCCCCTCCCCAAAGGAGAAGAAGGGTAAGCTATGTAAAACATAATGTAAACAGCTCATTCATTCAAACAGATAGGAAACACTTGTGTTGTGTGTCTATGTGTCTTTTTTTTATTTCTTGTCTTCATATCCATCTCAATTAATGACAATGATTATTTATACCAGAACAACTTTATACCTTGGTTCTTCTCATCTTTGACACCTTGTTTATGTTAAATTAAACAACAACTGAATATCACCTTCTATATTATTATAATCCTTGCAAAAACTTTCAAGTGAGCTCCATGAATTCAAGTAGGAACTCTTAAACTTAACACCTCAGTCCATAGAAAATTTGATCCATTCCATGATGTTGAACCTTAATAAAGGTGGTATGCTTTGTTACATCTAATATGAATAAACTACCCATAAACATAACATGTATTGCTCAGAATGTAGACCGAAACAGTATGATGGCTGATCATAGCAATCTGGTCCAGGAAACTTCTTCCACACCTTTCCTTTGAGTGGATGCAAAAGGCACTTGTAGATCTGGTTTTGTGGGCTTCAGGATTCCTGATAGCAACAGAAAATATCATTATGGTCATTATTATTTCCAGGTCAAAGAAATGTCTCCAAGATTAGCCTGCATGCCTGAGGCAGCTCACCTGACAAGGGCTACCCTCCCCTCTCCAGCCTTCACCCTCCCATCTCCAGCTCCCAT